CATGTCTTATCACATGTTGATATTAGTCTGAACACTGATCAACTGTTTTTTCATTGGTTTGTTACAGTAAAAGAATTCATTGATCACGCATGTTGTTTTCAGGTATGTTTTTTTCTCTCTCTCCTTTTCAACACTGTATACACTGTGTCCATATGCTCTGGTGTATTTCAGGTTTTTTTTTCTTTAGGAATGATGAGCTGATGTGTTTTCATGATCATCGTGTATTGATGAGACTCCTTTACAAACTCCTTTAGAAACCGTTACAGCAGAATAGACATTTTAAATTTTGGTCATAGAAACACAAGTCACAACAACAGTCAGTTACAAAGAGCCCAGAAAACATCAGTATAAAAGTCAGTCTACACTGAAACAGTTCAATTCAGTCTGTTTGTCTTTTCTGGAGATCTGGTTCCTGCAAATAACAGCAGCACAAAACCAAAAAAAAAAAGGACAGATATTATATAAGACATCACAGTTGTTGTTGTTTCCTCTAAATGGGATTAGACTTTAGAAAATGAACATGACGTATTGTATAAGGTGTAAACCTGTCAAAGCCAGTGTCAGTGAATTGTTAACTGACAACAAAAGGAGGAGAACTATGAACCTAATAATGATCTGATATGTCTCTTACAAGGAGTGCACAGCTGAAGATAGAAAGAATTATGAGAAGCGGAAATGTGACGAAACAGAAGGTGAGACATTGACTGACAGTCTGTCTTCATCACTGTCCTCAATTTATTTACAGAGCTGTTTTTTTTCTTTCTGTTTTCTAAAGGACATGCTTTAGAAGATGAAACATCAGTAGGGACGAACCATTCAGATAATGTGTTAAACGACTCGGAGGTTAACAGCATGCTCCCAGAAATGAATATTTTAAAAATCACCCAAAACATGCCTTACTATAGCCTTACCATCGTGAAAATATCCATAAAAATAAAAAGTCCCCGAAATGCATTAAAATGCAAGACTAGGTCCTAAAACATCCTGCTAGGTGAATATTTTGTGTTTAAATGTGCAAAAAGTATTTTATATGAATATTTTAAAAATCACCCAAAACATGCCTTACTATAGCCTTACCATCGTGAAAATATCCATAAAAATAAAAAGTCCCCGAAATGCATTAAAATGCAAGACTAGGTCCTAAAACATCCTGCTAGGTGAATATTTTGTGTTTAAATGTGCAAAAAGTATTTTATATGAATATTTTAAAAATCACCCAAAACATGCCTTACTATAGCCTTACCATCGTGAAAATATCCATAAAAATAAAAAGTCCCCGAAATGCATTAAAATGCAAGACTAGGTCCTAAAACATCCTGCTAGGTGAATATTTTGTGTTTAAATGTGCAAAAAGTATTTTATATGAATATTTTAAAAATCACCCAAAACATGCCTTACTATAGCCTTACCATCGTGAAAATATCCATAAAAATAAAAAGTCCCCGAAATGCATTAAAATGCAAGACTAGGTCCTAAAACATCCTGCTAGGTGAATATTTTGTGTTTAAATGTGCAAAAAGTATTTTATATGAATATTTTAAAAATCACCCAAAACATGCCTTACTATAGCCTTACCATCGTGAAAATATCCATAAAAATAAAAAGTCCCCGAAATGCATTAAAATGCAAGACTAGGTCCTAAAACATCCTGCTAGGTGAATATTTTGTGTTTAAATGTGCAAAAAGTATTTTATATGAATATTTTAAAAATCACCCAAAACATGCCTTACTATAGCCTTACCATCGTGAAAATATCCATAAAAATAAAAAGTCCCCGAAATGCATTAAAATGCAAGACTAGGTCCTAAAACATCCTGCTAGGTGAATATTTTGTGTTTAAATGTGCAAAAAGTATTTTATATGAATATTTTAAAAATCACCCAAAACATGCCTTACTATAGCCTTACCATCGTGAAAATATCCATAAAAATAAAAAGTCCCCGAACTGCCAGACAACAACAGCGACAATGACTCGATTAATGACGACCTTGATGAGACGGAGCCGGACGTGTTGGATGGCCCATTCGCTGAGCTGTTCAATTCGAACACTGCAGAAGGAGAATTCGAGGGATTCGTAGATGAGGAGCTGATAAAGTGAGCTTTACGTTTTTCTTTTGTGTGTTTACAGCTTACAGTTATTATGCTATTGCTTTATTGTTATTGTTATTGTTTTGCACTTGTTATTGTTTTTGCACATTACGAGTGTCACTATATTGTGATTGCACTAACGTTTAATTTACCGTAACAGTATCAGACTGTTTTTTGCGTGTTGACTGAATGGAGGAAAAGTAAAATGTTATACCTTGCTGTTGTTAAAAGAGGTTAAAGATGCGTCACGCAAATGCTAATGCTTTACCTCAGAGAAAATAATAAAACAGCTGTTTATTCATTTTGGGAGTGAATGGAGTTGTGGAAAGCTTGTTTGTAATCTATTAATAAAGTTTGACTGACCTATCTGACTGTTTTGTTGACATTCCCTTTAGCGCGGCACCATCTAATGGTTGCATAACGTAACTACAGCCTCTACTGTAGCGCCTTATAATGCGGTGCGCCTTATATATGGAAAAAGTTTTAAAATATGTCATTCATTGAAGGTGCGGAAAATACGGTATGTATTTGAATATTACATTATATAAAACATATTGAATGTTAAATGATCAACGTTTTCAATGCCGATCTTGGTCCGGACTGCAACTGAAGGGTTTACTCTCCTGGGAAAGAGGTTGTGTTGTGTCAACGTCTTTTTTCTGATTCTGCCTCGTATGAATTCTGAAATGTCTAGACAGCTGATCTGATCTTCTAAATTTTTTACCACACTCAGGGCAACTAAATGGTTTCTCTCCTGTGTGAATTCTCTCATGTTTTGTCATCTGGTCTGCCTGCCTAAACCTTTTACCACAATAATGACAACAATAGGGTTTTTCTCCTGTATGAATTCTTTCATGTTCCCTCAGACTGCTTTTTTGAATAAAACATTTACCACACGCAGAGCAACTATATGGTTTGTCTCCCGCGTGAATTCTCTCATGTCTCACTTTTTCTTTTGCTCTAGTGAAACGTTTACCACACTCGGAGCAACTAAATGGTTTTTCTCCTGTATGAACTTTCAAATGTGACCTTAGTGCAAACATGTGAGCAAATCTTTTCCCACAGTCAAAGCAACTGAATGGTTTCTCCCCTGTATGTGTTTTCTGGTGTGACTTTAAATGATCCATGTGTCTAAAATTTTTACTACACTCAGAGCAACTAAATGGTCTCTCTCCCGTATGAATTTGTTCGTGTTTCTTAAGACAGCTCTTGCGCGAAAATATTTTCCCACATTCTTGGCAACAAAATTGGTTCTCTCTTGTGTGAATTGTCTTATGTGAACACAGATCACTCTCAGAAATAAATATGTTTCCGCAATCAGAGCAACTAAATAGTTTTTCACCAGAATAAATAATCTCTCCTATATGAATTTTTTCATGTCTTCTTAGATGTCCCTTCTGTGTAAACCTTTTACAACATTTAGAGCAACTAAAAGGTTTCTCTCCAGTATGAATTATTTGATGCCTCACAAGATTTGACTTACATGTAAATATTTTACCACAATAGGAACAAATTAGTTTCTTGGCAGTGTTACTTGTCACATCGCCAAAAAACCCTGTGGTTTCTATCGTCTTGGAACTTGAAGGTTCACTGCAGTCTTTCCAACCATCTTCACTGTCTTCTGTCTCAGAAGAATCCTTAGCTCTGCCTTCACTATCTCTTCCTAAATGCTTGTGTTTACTGAAGTCCCAGGCTGATCCAGGTCCACTAAAGTCCTTTGCGTTTTGTTCTTCTTCACTCTTTACAATCACAGTGACGATCTCATCCTCCTCCTGTTTAATGCACACTTCCTCCTCTTCCTCTTTTTTAATGTGCTGCTGCTCCTTCTGGTTCAGACTGGGCCTCACTCTCTTCTCAAGAGGAACTTCTTCTTTAATCGGGAACTTCTGGTGATTGTCTGCAGACAAGAGCAATGAGGCAAAGAAGTCATATTATACATCGGAATCTGTTCTATGTGGTTGAGGAGAGAAAAGTAGGTCTGAACAATATTATACGATGGCTAATTGAGCACATAAAGCTCCAGCAGATGCAGCTAGAAATACATCTAAAAACATGACACTGCCCACTGCTGGTCAAGGCTTGAAGAATATTTGGAACAGGATTGAAGAAGGAACAGGCAATTGTAGAGAGGACAAACTTTAATTTTTTTTTTTTATAGATATAACATGTCTAAATTAATGTTATGTAATGTTAAAAGCATGCACACATTTTTTTTTCTTATTTAATTGTCATTCACTGCTATTCAGTATTTTAAAGTACCTTAAAAGCAGGAAATCTATTGAAGCTGAAAGATTTTAAATCATAGTCATATCACATCATCGCAAATTGCTCATATCGTTCAGGCCTAATGTATACAATATAATAATAATGTACAACAGGATAAAAAAAAAAATCACAACTCTCCTACTCTAGAGTGGAACCTCAGTTGCAATTGTTGAACTATTATAAAGTGTAGCCAATAACTGAATTACAGTAATTAAAATAAAACTGTTTATACTAAAGAAATACACATGGGCTTTCTTGTTGAACTTAAGAAAGCTTGGAATAAAATTGCTAGCAATATTAAAAACATGTGCAACAAATACAAAAAGAGGTTACTGTAAACAAAGCCGTCAAAGCAATTAAAAAAACAACAGTTTGTTGTGTGTGAGAAAGAGAAACAGAGGGAGGGAAAAAGCAGGAGGGAGATAGAACCTGCCCGTACCAATATGGCGGCGACGTTGACATATGACTGCCACCGGTTTGCGTGTCTGTCTGTGACAGCATTGAGCAGCGGTTGAACCATTAGCTTAGCTGTCAAAGACCAGCTTAGCTAGCGACTGTTATTTTCCGGCTTAAAAAGTGGGAACTGACCTGCTGTGTGCAACCAAGCTTCAGGCTTCAGCTCGACATCGAACAGCCTTCTCTGGAGGCAGCTTTTCCACTCTGACAGCTCAACTGCATCAACGTCCTTGCCTCTACTTTTCTCAAGCACGGCAAGCATCTCCTTAGATGTTAGCCGCTCGATGAGGAGCGCTGTCAAAGCCGAGCCTTAAGCTGCATTTCTCTTTTCTCCACCTACAGTAGAAAGTAGTTGGCGACAGCTACGGTATACTTCTTTTTGAGACACTGACACAGTTTACACGCAGGACATGTCACTGTTTTTCTGCCGTATGTTGAGCCTCCTTTAGCTGCTCAACCATCTTTTCTCCCATGTGACGTCATCGTCCTGATGGCGAATCTCACCAGTGATTCCTGTGAACAAGCACTTTCTCATTACTAAGTTCTAGAACCAAGGAGAACATTTTGTACCGAAGAAAACCACTTTTTGTATATGCTGTGTTGAAACTAGTCGGAAACCTGTACTAGCACACTTGAAACGCCCCCCCACCCCAAAATGAATTCATTGCCCCCCCCCCCCCCAAAAAAATTTATTCATTGTTAATAGTTCCTCTTATGGAGGACTGACAGTGCCAAAAACATAAATAAATAATTAAATAATTACTTAAATGTTATTGTTAAATTAAATTCGAATTAAATATATAAACATGTTATTAAATGCGTCATTAATAATTATTTCATGGTCCTGTGCTGTCAGTACTTTATGAATTAATTAAAAATGGAATGTATTTAAGGCGGCAAGGGTAATTTTAATAGCAAGCATAACTGACAGAGGGACACTACACTGTGTATTATTGTATGCCTAATTGTGTATCTCTGTGAAAGCTGCTGTTGTTGTAAAAGGTTTTATTGGAGTGGCTAGAAATACATGGCCCATTACAATCAATTCATCTAAAATGAAACGTTTTAATTTACAATAATATACATATAAAATTCAACAAACTTAAAAAAAAGAACGACAATATACATATAAAATTCAACAAACTTATAAAGAAAATGAACGATGTTACCCTTTTTTATGTTACTTTTACATTTAGGCTTACAAACACTTAAACTGTGCTTTTATTTTGAGATGCCGGAAATCCAGTCTGTGCTTAATTGAATGTTGCTTGAGTCTAATGTCAGCCATTTTAGTTCCGAGATGCGGACAGGAGCGAGTTTGTGTCAAAAAAATAAATAAAACACACACACAAAAGAACATGTGATGTGCGGCTTGTAGTGTTGGTAAGAGGACAGTTTGACTCTAACACTGTATTCATTACGAAAAAACGGCGAAGGCTGTTGTGCGGCTAACGACGTAGGAGATGCTCGCTGTGCTTGAGGAAACCGTCACGGAGTGCGAAAACAGAGTGGAGCGCACAGAGCGGGATGTCTGTCGTAAAAAGAGGCTGCGCGATGCCGAGCTAAAGCCCGAAGTCGGGCTGCATACAGCAGGTCAGTTCCTGGTAACGGGATCTTAAACTACAGGCCAAGGAGCTAATCTGCGCATGACCGCCGCAGTTTACCTTCCGATATAGATTCTAAATCGGAAAGTTACCATCTGATATAAAACCCATATCGGTAAGGTGTGGATTCAGTAGACCGTGAATCAGAAATGACATGAACAGATTAGGTTAATGTCAAACCCCAGTAAATATACAGAGAGCAAGAAACTATAATTTAACAACTACTTAATCCCAAAATCTCATTTGATCAAAGGAGGAATACTACATGCAGCGTTGATGCTTCAGGCAGCATCCCTGGAGTTAAATTCATCCTAGGCCAAACTTTTCCAAATTATATAATTTATTTATATTATCATTATGCTTCTCCTTTTTCTCTGCAATACGTTTCCCCAATAGATGTCGTAGTAAATGAGCATTTTTGCTTTTAATACATTCATTTATGTCATTTATCTTAGTTTGAAAGAACGCTCCATCTATCTGTTCCTGACTCGCCCTCCCCCGTTAAATTTTAGGACAATTGTGGGAGTCAAAAAGTTTACCCACACCTGTCCTAGGCCCCATCAGTCCCATCCCACCCACCTCCCCCCTTCCATATTTTGTTGTAACCCAGACGTGACTTTTAATAAAATAACGTTTAAGAAAATAACCACCATTTACCGTAAAAGCTTTCACAAGGACAGGCTGCTGATTTTGAAAAGTATTTTGTTAGACTCAGGTTAATGTACTAATGTAAATGTAAAGCGTAACCGGTTGATTTAGGTCTAGGACATATGTGTCAAACTCAAGGCCTGGGGGCCAAATGCGGCCTGCCGAGCTATTTGGTGTGGTCCACGGGAGTTTTTAATAATCAATCAAATAATAATCAATTGCAGAAACATGTTTTAGTCTGTTATGGAGTACAAAAAAGGTCCCTAACCTTTTTTGTTCCAAGGACGGGTCAACCAGTACCTCCTTTTACTACAGACCGGTAGCAAAGTCCTGAGCATTGAAGGATCATTACATTTTCAAAATAAAACATCTACTAGACTCTATTCTGTTTGTATACCTGTTATGGTAAAAAAAATATTGCCAGAAATTTTTTAAATCAACTGTAAATTATTTTGATGTGTAATTTGTACCATTTTTTTCTCACTTTTTTTTCTCTTTTGTCACCGGCAGATCAGCAGCAGTAGTTGTTGGTTAAAGAAGAGGCTCAAACTGAGCAGATGGATGGGAGAACCAATTTGGACCAGGGGTATCCAGACTACACCCACATAAAACAGGAAGAGGAGGAAGTGTCCATCAAGCAGGAAGAGGAAGAGATAGTTGCTGTGATTGTCAAGAGTGAAGAAGAAGAAGAAGAAGAAGATCCTGAGTCCTCAGAGCTTTTAACTGAAGAAAACAGAGAGATTTGTGGAGGTTCAGAAACAGACAGAAATTCCGGTCTAGATGGTCTTCTTAGACCGAGTTCGGAGGATGAGTCTAAGAACTCAACTGTGACTGAAAACAGCGAGCAGGACTGGAAAGAAGCTGATGGAAAATCAAGCTTGGAGGCAGAGAGACTTACAGTCTCAAGTCATCGGAGCGCTAACACTGATGGAAAATCAAGCTTGGAGGCAGAAAGACTTATAGCAGTCTCAAGTCATCGGAGCGCTAACGCTGGTGATAAGTTGAGTTGTTCCGAGTGTGGAAAAAATTTTGCCCTCAAGTCCGATCTGCTGAGACACAAGAGTGCACACCTAGAAAAGAAACCATTTAGCTGTTCTGTGTGCGGAAAAGGATTTGTCAAGGAGAAACATTTAAGGGGCCATGCAAAAATCCATAAAGGGGAGAAACCATTTTGTTGCTCTGAGTGTGGGAAACGATTTATCGTTAAAAGCAATCTGAAGAGACATGAAAAAATTCATACTGGAGAGAAACCATTCAGTTGCTCAGACTGTGGGAAACGATTTACTTTAGATACAGATCTAAAACGACATGAGAAAATCCATACAGGAGAGAAACCTTTTACATGCCTGGAGTGTAATAAAAGATTTTCCGAAAAAGCAAAGCTGAAAATGCATGTGCGGCTTCATTCAGGAGAGAAACCGTTCAGGTGTTCGGAGTGTGGGAAAGGATTTACTCAAGAGACGCACCTAAAGAGACATGAGAGAGTTCATACAGGGGAGAGACCGTTTAGATGTTCTGTGTGTGAGAAAAGCTTTGTTCATAAATGCACTCTGACCACGCATCAGAAAATTCACACAGGAGAGAAACCATTCAGTTGCTCTTTGTGCGGTAAAAGTTTTGTTTACAAGTGCACACTTCAATCGCATCAGAAAACTCACACAGGGGAGAAGCCCTTCAGTTGCTCCGAGTGTGGTAAACGGTTTGTCCACAAGTCTGCTGTCAAGACACACCAGAAGACTCATACTGGAGAAAAACCATTCAGTTGCACTGTATGCGGTAAAAGGTTCACAGAAAAGGGAAAGCTGAAAATGCACGAGCGCATTCACACAGGAGAGAAACCGTTCAGTTGTTCTCAATGTGGGAAAAGGTTCAGTAGGGAAACTCATCTTAGGAGACATGAGAAAATCCATAACAAAAAGTTTAATGTCTTGTGTCTCGTCTAAACATAACTAATAAAAAATACATTGTGCTTGTTGTGGAATACATCTTAGACGAATTTTCGACCTGTTCAGACCAAATAATTCGAGTTTTGTGAAATGTCCTTTTGGTTGATAAACCCAGGCAATTCTAAGTGATTTTTAATTATGTTTGTTATTATCAACATACCACTGATGGTTGAAATGATAGTTGATGACAACTGCATTGAAAGATTATACCATGATGTCATATGAAAAATCAGCTGAATATATAGTTAAAAAAAGGGCAGAAATACTGTACATCTAATGTGTCAAAACACCTAAGAAGTGTTGTAGCTGTCGTAGAAGATGAGATGGACTTTTTTCCACGTAGACGTCTCATTCATCACATTTTGTACCTATTTTTTTTTTTTTTTGACTAAAGTGTCCAATCATTTTGGTTGAAATGTTCCATTTAATATTATTGCTGTAACTGTTATTTAGGGTTGGCTACTGCAACATTTGTACTTAAAATGTCCCCTACTTTTGTCTATCTATAAAAAAGTGTATCCATTTTATCTTTTTTTTTTATCTCACTGTTTTTCTCAATTTTACAATTTTACCTTTAATTCATGCTGCGATGGTTAAAGACATAGTTGCGTTTAGTACTTATATTACACCTTTACATTGTAACTGCCCATCTGCTTTGCCATTGATGTAATAAACATGACCCCCCATTGTTACCCTGGTGCATGTGAAAACTGAAAACCTCTAGAGAACCTCTCTAGAGCAGGGGTCACCAGGGTCTGAAATTGTACTGTTACTGTGCTTTTTACCCTTGCAATCATATTCAAATGTGTGCAAGACAATGGTAAGAAGAGTGTCTACTACTGTATTGTATGTCCCAAAACTAATTATTATTATAACATTGGTCAGGAAGTCTGTTTCAAACAAGTAGCTCTTCGCATTACTAAGTGCCCTTGGAGTAGCTCTCCGTTTCAAAAAGTTTGGAGATCCCTGATCTAGACACCGTTGCTCTACCTTGTACTGTTGCACTGCTGCTGACTTGCTCTCTTCCTTGCATAATTAAACTTACAAAGACAACATTTGGTCCTTCCCTGTCTTGATTTAAACACAATTGCTTGAACAAAGATAAAATAACAAATCTCTTGCATCGTTTTTAAATAATACCAACTCGTCTGTTCTCTCAAGTTCTATATAATTTCACTTGGTTGCGCTGCTTCCAGTCGTGCATATTGACGATTTAGTGTTTTATCCAACAATATTTCAGCCGTCATGTGTTACCACCCAAAAGCAGGTATACAGATAGGTTGGCATTTTGAGTGATTTTATTGATTTGACTGATTATTAAAATAGATAAAAATAAGCTGCAATGCTACCATCTAGTGACTTCACTTTCATATAAAGCCGTTTTTCTCAAAAACTATTTTTAAGGCACACGTCATTTGGCGAAACCGAAGCATTGTGTTATCGTACTTTCATTATCGGGGGAAAAAAAACCAATAACGATTCTTAGAAATATAACAATTATGCCAATATCGCTCGGTAGATATTGTCGGACAGCCGTACTTTTATTTTAAAATATCGCTCGGTAGATATTGTCGGACATCCCTACTTTTATTTTAAAACCAATTCCATGTAATACTTAAAAAAAAGAGTCACATTTGACTAACATTTTTTATTGGCAAAATCTATCCTCTGTAGCAAAAATAACTTTTCACTTGTCTTTTTGCTCAAGGAAAACAATCTGGAACTTTTATGATCCAGGGCTGTAAGGGACTTTGTGAAATTCAAACAGAAAACAAACTATGACAGTATTATTTTAATTTTTTTTTTTAATTATGAACAACCATTGAAAACATCTAACCAGAACTTTTCAGTGATAAATTGGAATATACCGTTGATTATAAAACAAACCCTGGCGTTGATAAACGCTTTAAACTATATTTGTTTTAAACATCAAGTGAGTCAAAATAAAAAAAATAAAAAAAAAAAAGCCATCACTGACATTTTACAAAAGTGTCCCTGCAACACATTCTCTTTTAACAAGTCTACTAATAACAGGAAAAAGCATTAGTAGTTAGAAAAAATCTGCTGCCAGAGGTCGTTTTTGGGGCATGATCTTTTTACTTTTCAAACTTGTCGTCGCATTGGTGTTGCCGGCGGGTTTCTTTGTGATGGAGACCGGCGTGGGTGAAGACTTCAAAACACCGAACCTGGGCTTTTGCGTTGGGTCGAAGGGCACTCGTGATGAACCTTCAGGACTTACGAGCAGGCTGCTGTCGGTTTTCCTAAACTCTGTAACGACACAGAAAAAAAAGTCATTAGGAGTACAATGCTGATTTCTTACAACGAAACAGTACCAGGTCACCAAAGACCAGGGGAGTGGCAAAGGCATTAATTAGAAATATAAATGTGCGTAATTTTAATGGATTATAGTATTCACCTTAAATGGTGTCAAACATCACCGCGCATTAAATTACCTGCCATCAACTCTAGGTTCTTTTTCTAACACAGACATTCCCAAAGTTGGGGGCACCACGCTATTGAGGGGGGTGCAGATGAAATGAATGAATGAACGTAACCCAGCATGTTGTCTAATGCAGACGTGGGCAAACTTTTTGACTCGCGGGCCACAATTGGTCCTAAAATTGAACAGGCAGGGCCGGGTCAGGAGCAGATAGATGGAGCGTTGGTGTGAACTAAGATAAATGACATGTAAAAGTCAGCTAAAATGCTAAAGTGCTTTTATCATTTTCTACACCATCTATTGGGGAAACGTGGGTATTGCAGGGAAAAGGCAGAAGTATAATGATAATGATAATTATATAATAAAGTTTGGCGGGCCGGATTAAAAAGCTGAACGGGCCGCATCCGGCCCCCGGGCCTTAGTTTGCCCATGCCTGGTCTAATGTGTTTAACAAGAGACTGGCAAAAAAAAAAGATTGTTTGAAGGTGGTGAAGGAGGCAGTTGTTTTTAATTCTCGCTCTGGTTTTTGCTCTTGCCTGTTTGAACTGCCCAGAGGAGCAGAAGCAGTCCCAACTCTAACCACTAACCAAAGCTGGCAATGCTAGCATAAAATGGACAAGTAAAAACTATTAACTTTAAAATGCAAGTCTGTAAAACAAAATGTGAAAACAAGTGCAACAAAATACCCTAAAGCAATAATTCTCAAATAGTGGAGCACGGGGTACGGTGAGGTGCCAGGAGGGGGGGCTGAGGGGCTTCCAATGGAATATGGCATGCTGGGTACATAAATGTACCACTGCTATACTGCTTGATGATAATGGGCCTCCAGTTGCTTGCGGCCAGCAACACATACAGTGGTTTGTACAGATAAAAATATACATGCGGGCCATGACAGAAAATGATTGAGAACCACTGCCCTATAGTAACTATGAGAACTATTGGACTTTAATAGGGTGCATGAAATATTACTGAAAGGCTTTTACATTGAAGGCAAGTATTATAGTTTTGTTTCAGATGGTCAGATCAGCTTGGTAATATTCCACAGGAGGAACGGTGTGCAACTCTCTGATGAGACATTTGTCAAAGAATGTTAGGTGGATCCTGCAGCACCAACATGCCATGAGGAAAAAAAATAAAATAAAGAAAGGTTTACAAAATTCCCTCTTTTGGTGAAATTTAATAAGATAAGGTTGAGGCTTTCAAGGTTTTATTCAAATTTAAAAAGGAGGCTCTTTACATCCTTTTCATTCCAAATCCCCCAATCAGTCAGCCAACTAAACAGGGGTGAGAGAAGGCTGTCTAATTAGGAAGTGAGCATCGCCATGAAGTGACAGGCAGTGCTCAAAATTGTCGATTTTAATTTCATCTAATTTAATTTCAAATACATGGCAGAAGGGCGAGGTAATCAAAAATGAACCACTGATAAACTGATTAAAATATGTAAATGTTTGACATGGGTAGGAAAAAACATTTCAGCAATTCAGCAATACATCGCAATTCTCCCCCCCACCCCCTCCTCCAATTCAATATCCATTCAGCAATCATCTGAATGGATTCAAGCCCGTTGTGTGTCCGTGAAGATTCTCATTCAGGACCTGGAATGAGGTCATCAAAGAGACAACACAGACAGGAAGGTTTGGAGAAAAAAAAGGCTAGAGAAGCCAGATTGAGATGGTTTGGACATGTGCAGAGGAGGGACGGTGGTAGAAGAATGTTAGAGATGGAGCTATCAGCTAGGAGATAAAGAGATATATGGATGCAGTGAGGGAGGACATGCAGATAGTTGGAGTCAGAGTAGAAGATGCAGAGATACAGGGTGAAATGGAAAATGTTAATTCGCTCATTCGCAACCCCTGAAAAAAAAAAAGGGACAAAGCCAAAAGTAAAAAAGATTTACTGTCAAATACCGCGATATAGTGAAACTCTCACGAGATTGGAATAAATAAACTCTGCAATGTACTGAGGGAACCGCAATATAGAGAAGGAACCCTATATGCCGTTTCGTTGATATCTGACATGACCCTTCCAACTGTTTCCTAATCTCGCATTGGATCATGTTTCTCTCATTGTATTTATTTATTTGCACTGAGTAACAGTATAGAGTGCTTCAAAAAGCTGATGCTGTACAATTAGCATAGGCAATGGATTCTTACCAGCTGTTTTATTATTGTTAAGGCCAAAGGTCACCGTCTTGGATTCTGATTTGGGCGAATGACTTTTCTGCAGAATAAGAACAAAAAAGACAGGGTTTGACCGATATTAGCTTTTTGCCAATTTCCGAAATTGTCCAAACACCTATTTTCCAATTCAGATATCGACCAATACCGCAACATGCAGCCGTTTCTTCCCCTGAACTTTGATCTATAACAGGTCACACATATCACATATCTCCTGTTGTGAAATAAACACATGGCCTGTACAAAATAATTTTTTTAAGTGATTCCAGGATATTTGGTGAAACCCAGGCATTGCGTTATTATCAGAGAAAAAAACGATAACGATTTCGACCGAAACAGGTTAAAAAAAAAAAAAAAAAAATCGATACATTGAAAGATCACGATTTTACATTTCCTGATCTCTTATCAATATCCTACATTAATGTGTTGATTTTTACAGTTTGAACAGTTGAACATCCAAATATTTATGGCGTTAGTTGAAAGCCCAGTCCTGGGTGTAAAAAAAAATTTTGTGTTGCATTTAAACGTCCAACCGTCAGTTGATTGTATATTGCATATATTTGCAATATAAGTATTTAAGCCTAAGTCAACCAATTTTATTTTTTTTCCATTTGTTTCTCCAAAAAAAAAAAAATACTGCAAAAGCTATATATATCATTGAAATTTGAACACAAAATAAACTGACCAAAATAAGGGATATGTTTTATATGTGGTGAGATGAAATTAGACAAATGATAGATCAGAATTTATGCCTTAAATAATTTAAGCAATTCCCCTGGGGTATTAAAAATTGGGTCCTATATAAGTAGATATGTAAATATACAAATACAAATATTGGGTCATATAATTTGTAATGTATATATTATATTTTGTGTGATTGAATTTACAGAAAGTAGGAGGTCCCGTAGCCCTTCACGTCTTTTTTTCTGAGAGAAATACATAACACATATGTAGCATTTTTTTGCCTAACAAAGTGATTATAGTAATTTTTCTTGTACTTTAACATCATTTTGTTTTTACATATCTTTGTTACGTTGGCATCAAAAGATAGAAATTAAGGAAACTTTAAGATTTACAAGGAGTTGTGTTTATGTGATTTTTACACCTTTATTGTGTCGTAAAGTCAATAAGTGTATAATAATTATCATAATCGTAATATCGTGATAAATTGTCTGACTACAATGGGACCAAGGAAACCTATAACCTTGACATTCCTACTGCCAATAAGGTGTCTGTAGTTGACAGCAGTGTATGGGGACGGTGCCATGCCAAAAAATATACCTCAGTGGCAACTTGGCAGCTAGTGGACTCGAACCCTAAAACCTTCCGGACCCAAGTCCGCTTCCTGAACCACTAAGCCTTCACTGAGCCTTGGTCAGTGTTGATTTTGAACGTTATGAGCATTATGCATATGGTCTCTTTTGTCATTGCAGAAACTGAAGCATCAGTCACATTTGTTAACAGTGAGGTTGTGTGTTTTGATGCCTTGCAACTCACCAATTTCTTCCCAACTCGTAGACTTTTCCTGGTCTTCCTGTCCGAGACTGGGGTGTCGATTTCCAAAGACGTTTTAGGTTGTGCTGTGGCAGGTGTTTGCTGCAGCTCTTTCGTCCTGGTATCAGGTTGGGGCTCAGAATTTTCTCCCGTGTTTTTCATCTGTGAAGAGAGGACAGGTTGGTTGTGACTGATGGTGATACTATGCCTTGGTAGGATCTCAAGCACAGCCTAGTAAAAAGTTCAGACTGAGGTGTACATGGCTATGCCATAGTTGGAAACTAAAGCAATTACAAGTCAGATTAAATTGTGCTGGCAGTTTATTTTTGAAAGTTCGTTTTTGGAAGAAGGACCCTGCAATAGGAAGTGTAAAGCACACGTTAATCTCTGGTCTGTGACTATAATTATACATACCTTGCTTATAGATACAGTAATCAGCTCTTAAGAGTAAAAGGAAGGCCACCAATTCCATGTCCCCTGAGAGCAACCAACCTCAAAGCACCAGCATTCATCCAAGAGGGACATAAGAAGCCCAACTATCCCCCATAGTATACCAGATGCTGAACACCTAGCCATGGCACGGGCTTGGAAGATGGTAGCCGATATTGGCCAACAACTAATCTTCCCACCGGAGACTGCAGCCACCACCTTTATACCAGACCTTCATGAGCTTTACGTATATGGTCAGCATAGTTAACTGCCTTTTTTGTCATTGCAGAAACTGAAGACACATCAGTCACATTTGTTAACAGTGAGGTTGTGTACATTGAACTCACCAATTTCTTCCCAACTCGTAGACTTTTCCTGGTCTTCCTGTCCGAGACTGGGGTGTCGATTTCCAAAGACGTTTTAGGTTGTGCTGTGGCAGGTGTTTGCTGCAGCTCTTTCGTCCTGGTATCAGGTTGGGGCTCAGAATTTTCTCCCGTGTTTTTCATCTGTGAAGAGAGGACAGGTTGGTTGTGACTGATGGTGATACTATGCCTTGGTAGGATCTCAAGCACAGCCTAGTAAAAAGTTCAGACTGAGGTGCACATGGCTAAAGCAATTACAAGTCAGATTAAATTGTGCTGGCAGTTTATTTTTGAAAGTTCGTTTTTGGAAGAAGGACCCTGCAATAGGAAGTGTAAAGCACACGTTAATCTCTGGTCTGTGACTATAATTATACATACCTTGCTTATAGATACAGTAATCAGCTCTTAAGAGTAAAAGGAAGGCCACCAATTCCATGTCCCCTGAGAGCAACCAACCTCAAAGCACCAGCATTCATCCGAGAGGGACATAATAAGCCCAACTATCCCCCATAGTATACCAGATGCTGAACACCTAGCCATGGCACGGGCTTGGAAGATGGTAGCCGATATTGGCCAACAACTAATCTTCCCACCGGAGACTGCAGCCACCACCTTTATACCAGACCTTCATGAGCTTTACGTATATGGTCAGCATAGTTAACTGCCTTTTTTGTCATTGCAGAAACTGAAGACACATCAGTCACATTTGTTAACAGTGAGGTTGTGTACATTGAACTCACCAATTTCTTCCCAACTCGTAGACTTTTCCTGGTCGTGAGGGAGGACATGCAGATAGTTGGAGTCAGAGTAGAAGATGCAGAGATACAGGGTGAAATGGAAAATGTTAATTCGCTCATTCGCAACCCCTGAAAAAAAAAAAGGGACAAAGCCAAAAGTAAAAAAGATTTTCTGTCAAATACCGCGATATAGTGAAACTCTCACGAGATTGGAATAAATAAACTCTGCAATGTACTGAGGGAACCGCAATATAGAGAAGGAACCCTATATGCCGTTTCGTTGATATCTGACATGACCCTTCCAACTGTTTCCTAATCTCGCATTGGATCATGTTTCTCTCATTGTATTTATTTATTTGCACTGAGTAACAGTATAGAGTGCTTCAAAAAGCTGATGCTGTACAATTAGCATAGGCAATGGATTCTTACCAGCTGTTTTATTATTGTTAAGGCCAAAGGTCACCGTCTTGGATTCTGATTTGGGCGAATGACTTTTCTGCAGAATAAGAACAAAAAAGACAGGGTTTGACCGATATTAGCTTTTTGCCAATTTCCGAAATTGTCCAAACACCTATTTTCCAATTCAGATATCGACCAATACCGCAACATGCAGCCGTTTCTTCCCCTGAACTTTGATCTATAACAGGTCACACATATCACATATCTCCTGTTGTGAAATAAACACATGGCCTGTACAAAATAATTTTTTTAAGTGATTCCAGGATATTTGGTGAAACCCAGGCATTGCGTTATTATCAGAGAAAAAAACGATAACGATTTCGACCGAAACAACATAATTATGCTAATATCAGCCCGATACTTTCGGTCAGCCAATATTATCAGACATCTCTAGGTATCGCAATATCGCGATTTGACTTTTGGTTCATAAAGCCCAGTCCTGGGTGTAAAAAAAAATTTTGTGTTGCATTTAAACGTCCAACCGTCAGTTGATTGTATATTGCATATATTTGCAATATAAGTATTTAAGCCTAAGTCAACCAATTTTATTTTTTTTCCATTTGTTTCTCCAAAAAAAAAAAAATACTGCAAAAGCTATATATATCATTCAAATTTGAACACAAAATAAACTGACCAAAATAAGGGATATGTTTTATATGTGGTGAGATGAAATTAGACAAATGATAGATCAGAATTTATGCCTTAAATAATTTAAGCAATTCCCCTGGGGTATTAAAAATTGGGTCCTATATAAGTAGATATGTAAATATACAAATACAAATATTGGGTCATATAATTTGTAATGTATATATTATATTTTGTGTGATTGAATTTACAGAAAGTAGGAGGTCCCGTAGCCCTTCACGTCTTTTTTTCTGAGAGAAATACATAACACATATGTAGCATTTTTTTGCCTAACAAAGTGATTATAGTAATTTTTCTTGTACTTTAACATCATTTTGTTTTTACATATCTTTGTTACGTTGGCATCAAAAGATAGAAATTAAGGAAACTTTAAGATTTACAAGGAGTTGTGTTTATGTGATTTTTACACCTTTATTGTGTCGTAAAGTCAATAAGTGTATAATAATTATCATAATCGTAATATCGTGATAAATTGTCTGACTACAATGGGACCAAGGAAACCTATAACCTTGACATTCCTACTGCCAATAAGGTGTCTGTAGTTGACAGCAGTGTATGGGGACGGTGCCATGCCAAAAAATATACCTCAGTGGCAACTTGGCAGCTAGTGGACTCGAACCCTAAAACCTTCCGGACCCAAGTCCGCTTCCTGAACCACTAAGCCTTCACTGAGCCTTGGTCAGTGTTGATTTTGAACGTTATGAGCATTATGCATATGGTCTCTTTTGTCATTGCAGAAACTGAAGCATCAGTCACATTTGTTAACAGTGAGGTTGTGTGTTTTGATGCCTTGCAACTCACCAATTTCTTCCCAACTCGTAGACTTTTCCTGGTCTTCCTATCCGAGACTGGGGTGTCAATTTCCAAAGACGTTTTAGGTTGTGCTGTGGCAGGTGTTTGTTGCAGCTCTTTTGTCCTGGTATCAGGTTGGGGCTCAGAATTTTCTTTAGTGTTTTTCATCTGTGAAGAGAGGACAGGTTGGTTGTGACTGATGGTGATACTATGCTTCAGTTTGCTTGGATTTTTTTTTTTTTTTTACAGCAAGTCTACAAAAGTATTCTCCACACACCGGAAGCCTTTTGGCCTTTCTCTTCTTTTTTCTGTCTCCCCGCCCTTTCTTTTGCTCCACGGGTAGGTCCATTGGTTCCCCACCATCTTCCAGAGTCTCCTTTTTGGTTTGTTCTTCTCTTTGCTTTACTGAATCTGGCAAGAAAAAACAAGTCAGAATGAGTCACTCACTTAGCCTCCATCTGCATTTAATTCCCATTTGCTAAACAAAAATAAAGAAATGAAGGGATTGAGACATTCTAAGAACAGCATATCGTGTTAAGTTGAGCATTTGGGCTTAGGTGTCTGATCAGACAGGCTACATTTGTTGTTTTTATATTAGACTGATACGTCTAGTAATAGTTTAAGTCTTGCTCATGGTTTAAGTCTTGCTCATTTACGCAGTGCATAAGCAGTCTCAATTACTGACTGATTTCACCGGCAAATCAGGCAAAGACACATATATGCGAGCATCATATTTTCTGCACTATAAATTGCATTATTTTTTCATCCTTTGGCTGGGTTTGCAACCTATACTCAGATGCGACTGATGTAAATATATAATTTCACGTTTGCACCAAAGGACACTATCGGCTTGTGTACCAGCATCTGCTAATCCTGTGCCACTGAGAATTTACATGTTCATTATTCCGCACTGACGCGAATGCAAGTGGACCCCTGTCTTGTCGCCTGGATTTCCAGCTACCTCGAGGACGGACGGCAGTATGTTAGGCTGAATGACATCACGTCTGACACTGTGGTCAGCAACATCGGAGCACTGACTTCTGGTATAACTCTGAGCCGTGTCACATCCAGAAGTTTGCAGATGACACAGCCATTGTGGGGTGTATTAAGGACAACAACGAGGAGGAGTACAGGTGCCTCGTGAACTTTGTTGGACGGAGCAAATTTATTGCACACTTTCTGTAAATCCTATAAACTTCATTTCGCTTCTTAAATATCACTGTGTTTGTTTGCTATATGATATATTTAATTGAAATTGCTGTTCCAAAACAACCAATGATCCATAAAGGGAAAATCTTGAAAATGATCAGGGGTGCCCAAACCTTTTTCCACTGTACATATACACATACATATACATACATATATACATACACATGAACCCAAGACTCTCTGCTTCCAAGGCAGGCATGCTATAAGCACATTATAAATGACTGTATATATTTAACACTATAAGTTAAATGTAAGCAAATTAAAAGGAATATAATGAACTAAAATGACTTTAAATTTTCCCCATTTACTGAGAAAATAACCCACCCAGATGATTGTTTTAAAAAAAATCCAACCTTACATTTGAGTCTGAAAGAAGCAGGAAGCTGCTAAGACACCAAAGGCCTTCCCAGGCACACACACACTCACATAGCCCCAAACATTCAAAAAGAATTTCTCCTAAATTCTCTTCAAACCAACTCCCCAAATTACTCCCTGCTGTTCCAAAACACATCTACCACTCTTTTGGAGCCACTCTTTTTGTTGTTGGCCTGACCTCAAGGCTGAGTCCACTTCCTTTGTAATAACACCTTGCTCAGTGACAAAAGGTGTCCTCCAACACCGCTGAATCATGGAGCAGCAGTGCCACATAGTGGTGACTGCAGGCACAACCACGGTTATACGATTGGCCACAAGAGGCACCACCTCTTTCCTCCATTGGTCGACCACATTTAAACACAGACGCGGGAAGTCGAAAACCACTCACCGCAAACGGGTATAGAAGTGGACATCACTGATGATGCATTGGCGGTTATTCTTGAGAGGGAAGTTTATTTCTGGAATTTGCGGTTTAACAACCGTTGTATGAAATTTCCTTGGATACTACTTCTTCGTTTTATTTTGCTCATTGGACCTGTTTGTTTTGTTATTAAACGAATCGACCATCTACCAGCATTTTCATTCCCTGCCTGAGACTACCCACGAGGTGATTTCTTCAATTTTGGTGCTATGACTACGGGCAGAAGAAATCCTTCAATTGGTGTCGGGCCTAACTAACGAAGAAGGGCCAAATCTTTCAACTGGTGCAGTGACCCAGATCGAAAGATAGCAAGAATCTTTCACTGTGTGGCACACACAGTAACTTGCCGCTGTTGTAACACGAAATTGCAATAATGAAGTACCTACTTTTCTTTTTGTCAACTTTGCTTTTCTTCACAGGTGGTGCCTCATCGTCATCGTTGTTGACACGAAATTTACTTTTCTTAATTCGCTTCCTGCTACCAAACATTTCATCATCTTCATCTGTTGACACTTCTTCTGGATATTCATTATGAGGAAAGATGCCTGAAAAGACACAAACTTGAGTTAAACATTTAAAAATTAACACATTTCTAAAACAGTGAAGTGGTTTGGTAAATTATCCCATGTCCACCCATGTCTCCTGGGTTTATAAGGCAGTAGAGTAGTGAGATCTGCTATGATAGTTTAGAGACAGTGGCTCTGTTGAATGGACAAAAGAATGAGCTGGAGGTGGCAAAAAAATGAAAAACAATTTTCACTAGGAACGACCAAGACGGTTGTCAACAACAGATGTGCTTGAAGGCGCCAATTATGTGGTTTCTCTGGAATTATAGTATAATAAATCGATAATATAATTATCATGATTTTTATGCATTAATTGATTTCTCAACACTATGAATCTGTAAAATAACTTCTTTGAGGTCTTTCTTTATTTTTATCTGTTAATAACAAAAATATATAGCAACAAAGTCAAGTACTTAAAAAAAATATACTACGTAATTTCTCTAACAGATAACACCAGGTTATAAACTAAGCATAAGTTACTATGGTGATCTAGCTGGGTTAAAAGAGAACCACCTTTGTAGCACAGGAAAGCCTGGCTTTAGACTTACCTCGCTAAGCTAATAAACTCATTTTAACCAAATTATGTGGTACTCTAATGAATTATTTGTGTATTTCTACTTCATACCGAATCAATATTGAAGCAAATAGATCAATATCAAATGGAACTGATATTGAATAGAATTGTGTCAAAGAATCGTGCGACTCTTAACCCAGTCCTAATTAGTCTGGTAACCTTGCTAATGCTAATAACAGGTCAGAGCATTGTCACACTGTCTGTCCGTTCACCTTTTTGCATGTACATGTGGGTGTGCTTGCCTATTACTACAGGTATGAAGGCTATTATTATATGCTGTTCTGATTCTGATTGCATTTTGACCAATGCTAATAACAGGTCAGAGCATTGTCTGATTGCATTTTGACTGGTGCCTCCAAGTGGTCACAAGATATAAATACCAGCAAATTATACTTCTTCTTTCCACCAGGTATGTTGATAAGCTTGCTCTATTTATCATTTCAGAGTTTCAGTAACAGGTGAAGGTCATTCAGTTATAGCAGTTATTAGCAGCTATTCCTTAGCCATAGCTTCAAAACCGAGAGCCAAGATTTGGGTGGCTTTTACTTAAAGCTTCAAAAGACATTGTAGTTTGTTTTAAATGTAATGGAGCTCTTAAATCATAATTTCTCTTAAAAAAAAAAAAAACCCCGCAAAATAAAAGCTTAATTAGGAATTACATCATTCTTACAAATCATTCTTACCTTCACTTAGGTCTCGCAGTCTGAAGATTCAACATGAGGTGACAGAGAAAGAAGAATCATTAGTTTGGATTAAGAAGTGCAGAGTCACTGCAGCTAATCAAGGTTGAAGCACAAATTAAAAAAAAAAAGATCTCTTGAATTTGGTGCAAGATGTGAATATTAAATCGCCTAATGTTCAGAATATGATGTATGTAAGTAAAACTATGTAAGAGCAGTTAAAATTTGTGTCTGTACCCAAGACATGGCCTTAGAGAAGAGACAGATAAAAATAACATGACAGCAGCAGCTTCAAATCCAAAAAATAAATTGGCTACCCTGACAAATGCTTTTGGTGCTTGGATTAATGCTTCAAATCCAAAAAATAAATTGGCTAACCTGACAATTGGTGCTTGGATTAAGGCTTGGAGTGTTTTGAAAGATACAACACCAGGGATGTCCGATATTTACTTTTCGCCGATATCCGATATGCTGATATTGTCCAAACACTTCCGATTTTGATATCAACCGATATCAATATAGGCCTGGTAATAATTTATTTGTGTAAAAACCACTGTATGAATTGCTGGCACCAGTATTCTACAAACCATCCCCTGATTATTAAAATAGATTAATTAAATGAACTGCAATGCTGCCATCTAGTGACTTTCACTTTCACATACAGCCGGTTATCCCCAAAACTAGGGCAGACATAATTAGTTATCGGATTTTCATTATCGCAGGAAAACACAATAACGATTCTTACAGATATTACATAATTATGCTAATATCGGGCTGATGTGTTTCTAGAAAACATTTATTCTCTACGTTGCGTGAATCTTGATCACCACCCACTAATGTTTAAAAGGTAAATGCTGTATAAATAAATAAATACTATAAAGAAAGAAGACATCCACTTACACTTTGATGATTTTGTAAAGCTTCTTCCTGTTGTGGCTAGGCGTGTTGCTCCGACTGGACAACTCAAACAGCTTGTCGGCTAGGGCAATGTAGTCAAACTGCAAAGAACGTACCATTAGTCACGCACTATTACTGTGTTTCCCCAATCTGTTTTGCACCACAGCATATACTGTATTAAACATTTAAAAAAAAAAATCCAACTGTGAACCACAAAACATAAATGTTTTGTGCAGAAATATAATTATCTTCTAGTTTTTTTAAATTTGCTCTCAAATGACCACAGTGTGAAACCTTAGCCTGCTGGTTGAAAACAAAGCTGATAAACTGGCAGGAATTGAAGAAAGACACAAAGATCTTAAACAGCCCAGGGTCTCTCTCTTATTAAGGGCAATTGTTTTTACTGTAAAGAAACAGTGGGATTGATCGGATATTTTCGTGCGATTCATGAGGTGACAAGACTGGTACTAAAAGCAGACAACATCTATATTTGTAGAATGTACTACACTGCTACACACCTATAAAGTTAGTGGGCCTTTTTTAAACGTTCATGGCCTGATTTAGATACCAATCTAGTGCCAAAGTCTATTTTTAAGAAATTGTCACCTGTAGGACTGGACCAATGTCGTCATCATCACCAGGGTGTTCTGTGTTTGCGTTGTCATCTTCATCTGTAAAAAAAAAAAAAAAGAGAGAGAATACTGTGTTTAAGTAATGTCACAACAAATGTTCCAAGTTCAAGCATTAGAATTTAAACCATGCTTCACACCTTACCTCATTAGAAAAACTACTAAATATTTCACATGACTGAGTGGATACATTTCTAATACTGTTTTACTTAATATACCCTCCAAGCCAATTTTAGATCACATTCTGCTGACAACACACATATATACAGTATACACAGGCATATATATACACACACATACATACTATATATACACACACACACACATACATGTATACATGCACATATACATACATACAC